CCCCCGCCTATTTTCTCCCAACAGAATGGTTCCTTTCAGCCTTCACCTGTTTAGACAAGGCAAAGGGAGTCATTCTTGCTGTGCTCTTGGAGGCTTTCAGGCCTGTGCATGTGTATTCAGTAGGAGGTAATATATGCTATGCTTGTAATGTCTGCTGTAATGAATTTGAACTGTAGATACCATGGATTATTCTGAGCTCAGGGCCCAGCCTTCCTTTACTGTTTCCAGAACAAGTTTGTTACCCATTCACCAACTAAAGTCTGACACTTCATTTTATATTAAGGAAGGTTTAGAATATCTAATGTCCCTTGAATTCATTTTTTACCAAGCTTTCTTAGCTGTACATTAGTTACACGTCTCTACTGCCATTCCTGTGCAAGGTTCCAAAGGGCCTGAATTTTTAATTTAAAAATTTTTTTCCCATTTTACAAGTTCTGTTTTAATGAATTTGTTAAATTTGGAATTCAAACAAAAAATGTGAATATGTTTATTTAATATAACTTTGTGTGTGCATAGAAACCATATAAGTAAAAAAGCAATGAGATTACATAGGTGATTATATTACAAAAGGGAAGAAAATAACTAGTACTTGTATATTGCATTCTGGATACAGTTCCAGGTACGTGGTAAAGCTTAAAAGAGACCTATTTCTCCAGCAGCTGACCCGCCTCAGAGCAACGACTGCTCTCTCCTTCCCCACAGCCTTAGTATTTTTTGCCAAAGGGCCCGGATTTGAGTAAAGGGGAGCGCCGTGAGCGAAGGATCCGTGCATAAGGGCTACAGTCTGTTGAGCTTTGGCAGGTGGGTGTTCTGGGAAGTAAGTTTCGAAGAAATGGTTTCTTCCCTGGGGGCTGTTGGTTTGGTTGCTGGTTTTCCTGGTTGGCACCAAGGCGTTTTTTGGTAGAAGCCTGGCCTTGGAGTTTTAGTACAGTATGATACTGCTCTGCAATGCATGCTGCCTTCTTCCGAAGGTCCAGTTTCACTAGCATCATGTTATTCTGCAGCTCAGCCAGGGTCTGATCCTAGAAAGATGAATAAAGTTACAGAAAACCTTTCTGTCTGGTGTATTATAGAAACAAAAGGGTAAGGTACTCACCATCTGTTATTAACAACTGTTTTTAAAAAGATTAATTCTTGGGGCGCCTGGGTGGCTCAGTCGGTTAAGCGTCTGACTTTGGCTTAGGTCACGATCTCACAGTCAGTGAGTTCGAGCCCCACATTGGGCTCTGTGCTGACAGCTCAGAGCCTGAAGCCTGCTTCGGATTCTGTGTCTCCCTCTCTGCTCCGTGCCCACTCCCACCCCCACGCACACATCACACTCTGCCTCTCTCTCTCAAAAATAAACAAACATTAAAAAGAAAAAAGTTAAAAAAAAATTAAAAAAAAAAAAAGATTAATTCTTTAAGTTAGAGCTTTTAATGGAATAGGGGGTATTTTCCTTAAGACCCCAACAAATAGCACTGAAGAGGAAGACATTTTTTACCATGAGGTGGCATGAACTCGAATAAGTTTACTTAACCTCCAAGAACGTTAGTGCCTAGGTATCAAATCAAGATACACAGCTCCTTTTTATTTTTTAGTTTATTTACTTATTTTTGCTAATCTCTACACCCACTTGGGGTGCCTGGGCGGCTCAGTCCGTTAAGGGTTCAACTTCGTGTCAGGTCATGATCTCAGTTTGTGGGTTTGAGGCCTACATTGGGCTCTGTGCTGCCGGCTCAGAGCTTGGATCCTGCTTCAGATTCTGTGTCTCCCTCTCTTTTGCCCCTCTCCTGCTTGCATTCTCTCTCTCTCTCAGAAAAATAAACATTAAAAACATTTTTTTTTAATTAAAAGAATAAACTAAACTTATGACCTCGAGATCAAGAGTCTCATGCTTACTGCCTGAGCCAGCCAGGCACCCCTTAAAGTCTACCATTTTGGATGAAATACAATACTATTTATTTTCATCAGGTTGTTACAACAGAGAAAACACCTATAAATTACATAGCATAGTGCCTTGTACTTAGTGAATGGTTATTTTTATTTTGCAAAGAAAACAAACTCTCCTTATTCTAAAATCAGCCCCCAAATGTCTGCCTTTCTCATCTGCTTCTCATTCTTTTTTCTCACATATACTCTGGGGTGGGCTGATGTGAGAGAAGGAAATATATAGGGTGTCCTTACCTGTTTGATTAAGATATCATCACAAGTGGTCAAGGCTTGGCGAAGTTTTCCTGCCCCAGTGCTGTGGCAACAGGCTCTTTCTGCTGACTGGAGAGACTCACCAAGTTTCTGAAGCTCTGTCCGCAGCAGTCTTATATTCTGAAAAAAAATGAGTAGGAACCACACTGGCCAAGACCAACCAGGATAATGATCTGGAGGCACTCAACAGCCATTTGAGAGACGTAAAATTAGAAAGGCTAGTCAGTTAAATGAAGTAGCCACTCTCCAGGACAGCACAAAAACCCCCTGGTCCTCATGTAAATCAGACTGGAAAGGAAATTGCTTTATGTAAGAGCCTTGGTAACAGAGAAAGGTATCAATTACCTTCTGTCCCTCCTCTAATTTCTTGTCCACATCAATGGTGAAGGGCTTGGCTGATGGTGGTGGTTCTAACATTTTCTGATACTTCTGTAGTTCTGAGAGAAGGAAAAAAGAAACTTCAAAATGTAGGCTTTCTAGCCTTCGACTTCCCTCTTAACTGAGTTAACAGTAGCTTGCAACAAATACAGAAAGTGAGGCAATGTGCAATCTAGAGTGAGAGGTTAGGGAGATACAGGTCCAAGTTGATGAAAGTATTTTGGAGTTGGAGTCAGAAGGCCCAAGTTTGAAAACCAGTTCTCTGAACCACTCTCATGCTTTGTGACCTCTCACCTTCAGTGGTGGAACGTAGCTCTGCTCTGCACTGTTCCAGTTTAGCTTTAACCTCCTGGAGCTGCTGGCTGGAGGCAGAAGCCGCCAACCTTTGTGACCGCCGAAGGGACAATTCAGACCCTGGTTGTTGATGGGCTATTGGCTGCTGTCTGGCTTCCTGCAAAAGAGCTTCTAGCTCTTCTATTTTCTCATCCCGCTCCTAAGAGGGAAGCAGAGAACAAAATTCCATCCACAGTCAGACAAATCCTACAGGAACAGATGGCCAAATGGTGAATAAAACCTTCCCTGACACTTAATGCCTGTTAGCACTTATACCATTTTCTAGGCCAAACAAATCCTTAATCAATTCATAGAATGACACATATATAGTACCAAAGACACTAGAAAAAACTTGAGTTACATATTCCTGCTGTACCAGCATTTATAAAATCTATTTATCTCAGGCAACCCAGTGATGGGAATCAGTAGCTGGCTGGGGCTGGTTCAGGACAACTCACCTGAAGCTCTTCTTGGTAAAAACTTGTCAGTGACTCCTTGAGGATCTTTAGTTTCTCTTCATACATTTCCTCTAACAGTTCCTTTTGGGTATCCAAATGTTCACTTTCAGAGGAGAAAAATGGATAAAGAAGATGTGGTATCCATACACACACATGCATGCACACACACACAATATTCCTCAGCTATACAGAATGAAATCTTGCCGTTTACAGTGATATGGATGGACAGAGAAAAGTCTTCGGTTAAGCAAAATCAGATGGGTACCTGAGTGGCTCAGTTGGTTGAGCATCTGACTGTGGCTCAGGTTGTGATCTCACTTTGTGCATTTGAGCCCTGCAATGGGCTCTGCACTATTGGTGTGGAGCCTGCTTGGGATTTTTGCTCTCTCCTCTCTCTGACCCTCCCCACTCATGTTTTCTCTCTCAAAATAAATAGGAAGACAAAATACCATATGATTTCACTTATATGTGAAATCTAAAAACAAATGAACTTAAAAATACTATTAAAATTATTTATTTTTAAACTTAAGACTTTATTCCAGTCTTGTCACTTAAAAAAGTTTTTTTTAACATTTATTTATTATTGAGAGACAGAGAGTGAACAGGGGAGGGGCAGAGAGAGGGAGACACACTATCAGAAGCAGGCTCCAGGCTCTGAGCTGTCAGCACAGAGCCTGATGTGGGGCTCAAACCCACAAACTGCAAGATCATGACCTGAGCAGAAGTTGGACGCTTAACTGACTGAGCCATCCAGGTGCCCCCAGTCTTGTCATTTTTTTTGTTGTTGTTTTGTTTTCTTGGAGAGCACAAACCAGTGAGGGGGGCAGAGGAAAGGAAGTGGGCTCTGCGCTGACAGCCTGACGGCAGCAAGCTGATGTGGGGCTCGAACTCCCGAACCGTGAGATCGTGACCTGAGCTAAAGTCAGACGCTCAACTGAGCCACTCAGATACCCCTTTTTTAAATTTATTTTTGAGAGAGAAAGATGGTGCAGGTGACTGAGGGGCAGAGAGAGAATCCTACACAGGCTCTACAGTGTCAGCATGAGGCCTAAAGCAAGACTCGAGTTCACCCCATGCAGGTCTCAACTTTAAAACAAAAAACAGACTTTTAAATACAGGGAACAAACTGGAGGGCAGGGGGGTAGGGGAAATGGGTAAAATAGGTAAAAGCAATTCAAAGGTACAAACTTCCAGTTATAAAATAAATAAGTCACAGAGATGAAAAGTAAAACAGGAAATACGCTCCGTAATATTATAATAATGTATGGTTGACCAATGGGGACTACACTTTCTTTTTTTTGAGACAGAGAGAGAGAAAGCATGGATGCATGAGTGGGAGACAGAGAGAGAGGGGGAGAGAGAGAGAGAATCTCAACCAAGCTCTGCGCTGGAGCTCACAAACTGTCAGATCATAACCTGAGCCAAAATCAAAAGTCATATGCTTACCCAACTGAGCTACCCAGGTGCCCTAGATGGTGACTACTATTGTGGTGAGCACTGAATAATGTACAGAAGTGTCAAATCCCTAGGTTGTACATGTGAAACTAATATAACATTGTGTGTCATATATATTTCAATAAAACATTTTTTTAAAAAAAGAGAAGATAAGTGAGTGAAGATTCTGAGAAGCAAGCTTGGGAGACAGATCTTGAGCCACAAGATCTATGATAGTTTCTATTTCCCACCCTCTGGTCCTATTGACAGACCAAGAGGAGTCACTCAGCTGGTACCTGCACCACTGTTCCCGCTGCTGCATCTGCTCCACCATCTCATTGCAAATTTCATCACGAAGCTGAATCTCCAGCTGCAACTTTTCTTGCCGTTCTTTACAAAGCAGTGCTTTCATGGCTTCTACCACTTGTAGGAGCTCCTAGGAGAAACACAGAGGTGATCAGATGGAAGGTAGCATGGAAAATACATGGCCATAAAGCTGATACACCAAAGCTTTTTTGCATTCTCACCTCCTTGCCATACATGGAAATGTCAGCTTCATTTTCAGTGTCCTCATCAAGGCCTGGATCTGTCTTAACTCCTGTCTCTAAGCTGGGAGATGCCAGTAGACTGTGTTCCTTGATGAATGAATGTAGCAATGGGAATCCCAGTTGCACAGGTGGAGCATGCACAAGCTAGGGGTGGGGTGGGAAATCAACTGAATTCATAACTAGTCCCTAGTAGATTCCTTAAATAAAGGTACCAGCCCAAAGTGAGCACAACCATCACACCTACAACTTCTTACCTGGCTGGCAATGGCTGAGAACTTGGCCACATGAAGGGTCTCATCATAGGTAGATGCACAGGGATTCACATTGACAATCATGCAGGAGCGGCCTCGGCCTGTGAAGAAGCCTTGGAACACTCGAGTCAACTTGCTGTCACGAAAGGGAACCAGGTTCTGCTTTGACCTAGCAGGGAGAACAGAGCTTTGAGCAGAATTTCAGCCTTTGGTGTAACCCAGCACCATCCCCAGTGGTGACCAGGAAGTCTCTCAGCAAACTGTAGTGCTCCAGATCATCCTAGCGCATGGCTTGTAATCAGAAGCTTACCGATTCTGCTGGTTTTGGCGCAGGGCAGCAATACAGCGGCCCAGGGTGTGCAAAGAAGTATTAATGTTTCCTGCTTCCTTCAGCCGCTCACCACTCTTCTGATCTTTGCAGCGTTCTGAGCCAGCCAGATCACAAAGTGACAACCTTGAAGAATGGACAGGATCTGACATAAGGACCCCACATGTTATGAGCTTTCCAGCCCTTCATATTGTTCTGGGGAGGGGAGGACCCACCAAGAATCTCTGTACTCAAGGAAGCAGAGCAAGACTCTAACAGAAGTAATTCCTCTGAGGCCCTCCCTTATCCCCTATTTCTATTACCACTTATGACCAAGAAGTCCAAATTTCTTTTTTTT